TTAATATTTGTATCCATATCAACTTTGAACTTTTGGAGTTCACTATATTGTTTATCATCATCTCTATATTATATATAATACGAATTATTAACTTATGCTTTGTAGCTAAACGTTGACTTTCTAACTCAAGTTAAATTTRTTCATTAATTTTCCCGCCTTTGGGAAGCCATAGGAACCCATATTGCTATATTATATTAAACATACCAAGAAGCGTTGTTAGGTTGAGCCGGAGGGCAGTGTGCGTTGTTATTGTTGTTGTTGCCACCGCCACTTCCGCTGCCGGAAGCTTGGGTTGCGGTGGATGGTGTGGAAGTTGCCGCCGCTGCTGATGCTACTGCTGCGGCGACGGCCGACGAGCTGGACGTGGCCGTCGTCGCAGCCGTTGACGTCGCGACCGCCGAGCTCTTGACGCCGGACAGTGCGGCGTGACCGGAATAAGCGGCCGTCGAACAGCACGCCAGCGCCGAACTCTCCCTGATGCATGACGACGATATGCGGCGCGTGGCCGCGTGCGYGCCACCGTAATTRGCGGCCGCCGGTTCGTCGTAACTGTTTTGTCCGGCACAAACAACGTTGGCGCTACTACACCGGGGCAGCGTGGCCGAGTGCGCGTCATACTGTACCAGGCACGCGCTGTTGTTGTTGTTGATGATGTTGTTGCCTGCACCGTTGTTGTTGTTGTTCGTGGGACCTTTTGCCGGTGACCCTGTGGAAGACAAGTGGGTGGCTTGCTGCCTGACCAATCCGGAAGGCGATAGATCCCTGGGAGACCGCGATCGACTGACGGTGCCGTACTGGTAACCACACCCGCCGCCGCCGCCGCCGCCGCCACTGCCACTGCTGCTGTACAGCGGGCCAGTACAGCAGCGGTTCGACGGTCTCAGGGTGGCTGTCGCGTACGCCCTGGACAGCGCGGCAGCCGAAGAAGGCATCGCATCCACGATCGCCGACGCCCTCGAGTACAGTGCGGCTGCCTCTTTCCGGGAGCTATATGCCGCGTCGTCACACCGGTCGTAGTGGCCGTCGTAACCATCGTCAGGAGAAACAATGGGAACAAACCTCTCGGCCGGTATGTGGTACCTGTAACAAGACGTATTTTATTAATAACAATATTATTTTTTATACGGCGTATGGSACTGGACAATTTTTGTTTGAAAAATCTTAGAGCATGTTGATCAAAATAAAAGTCGTTTCGAATTTTTTATGTTACRATGTCGTGATGTTATAGAGGATACCACGCATTTAAGATTTTTTTTGTTGTCTGTGTATACGGTGTAGTCGAACATTGTTATTGTTGCTTATTTTCAAGTATATTACTTATTTTTATTCATATCTCACCATATATCATATTGTAATAAAAAAGAAATCAAACACGTTTAAAAAWAATCTTTTTTTGCAMTCGTTAATTATTAATTAAAAATGTTATAAAATTATGATTGGAATTATCTTAAATGTATACTTTATTTATAGAATTGTTTTTTTTTCGCTCTAATAATTAATAACCGATAGGTATTCTCTACTCCTAACAGTACATAGAAACGAATAAAAAATTTAAATTTAAATTTAAACAGATCTATAAAAACAGATCGAATTAATGATGTTTTTCTAAGTTTTGCTTTAAATATTTCTTATTATTTATTTTTTAGTGCTATTTATATAGGTATCAAAAATTTTGAAGTTTTTATGTACATATCAAAAGGCACAAAAGGAAGTATCTCAGTGCTAAAACTACCGAGCTCCCTTGCATTCCCYGTTATCATTATAGGTACCTGTGTATTACGATTTACGAAAGATTATGCAGGGCGGTTCATTTTTATCGCCAGTCATATTTTTATATTTATATTTTATTTTATATTATTTTCATCTTTAAATAAAGCTGCAACAAATATCTCGAACCGCATCGCAYTKGTTTTTTAATACAGCCATCAATAGCCATACATTCCATAATATAGATACACGGTCATAAATTACAGACATCAGTAGTTCCTATATCTATGGCCGCGATTAAGATATTATATTAGAAGGTCGCAGGTCTATAATAATTATCGTGTGTTTCGTGTGATCACCGTCGGAGGAGTCGACTTTTGCGCTCGATTTACCGCACAGGCATTTGTTCACGTCATTTTGACGGGATCACGTGTTTTCTCGTCATAATAATAATAATATATTATGCCGTTTCGACAATCGATTGTGTGTGCGGTATATGGGCCGCCGCCGCATGGTGTTTCCCGAAAGTTTGTTAAGTATATAAACACACGGAAAAATGGGAAAACGTGCCGGCCCACTCGCGCAGTTCACGTTATTACAGCGAAACCTCTATTTAAGAACAACCCTCAACAGAGAGGACCCTTATAAAATCCCCGCCATTTATTATATACGCAATGAATATAAAAAATATGACTACAGAATAGCGGATTCYTTCATTAATATGGACACGGACATAGCGAATTGCAATATAATTGCAAAATGGCAACGAGGAAATTTTATCGTCTTTATTTATATTTTTATTCATGGTACAAAGTTAACTGCAATTCTACAAGATATTAGCTTACAACAAAATAAATTAGCTATACAGATAAATAGTTTAATGATTCTTTTAGATTACCAATCAATTATTTTTAAAAATGAAATATTTTTGTTGATGTTAATTGTCTCCGATTAAGCTATTTTATTTWATTTATACTTATACGTATAAAAATGATATAAGATGCGATTATTGCACTAAATTATTTTTAAACGTATTAATGATGGAATATATTGAATTTGGCTTCACTGCGTGTTTAATAGGTACACAATATAAAATTATTCTATAACAATAAAAGAATTTTAAAAAATAAAAATTTTTAAGCTAATATAGGAGACATTCAAAGAAGTGTAACTATTCATAATGGACCTGTTACCCGACGATTAAATGTTAGAAATACTTATGCAGGCATATGAGAATTTTCAGTTGTACACAGTGTACACATTTATGTTACTAAATTATATGTATTACAATTTAAATATAATAAGATATAAAATAAAATACAAATTTATATAAATACGTTGTTACTTCTATTGCCAAAAAAAAGTTTTAAAAAAATACGAGTAACCCTCCTATAGTGGACAGCCATTATGTCCACTAGTCAGGGACATATTTTAATTCCCTTATATGGTGTCTGATGCTATAGTGAGRTATCACTGTATATTAAYATCGGGTGTTTACTGCATTGCTGCAATGTCTCGTATGTATAAAAATCATTCGGYCAACAGTCCTTATCAATGCTCTATCAATATGTAAAACCACACCAACGTAGGGAAATTTATCGTTTATTATAATTTTTAAAAAGTTTTATAGAAAAATCGGCTAAAATAGAAAATAAATGTTTGTGCGGTAAGATATACCGCCCTCGTACATGTAATTCGCGTGCAGGRCGTACGTATATAAACGCGTGTTTATTTTCATAAAAGCTTTGAGGAATTCGGGCAACTAGGGAAAAAAATATACCGGAGAAAAATTATTTTTCGTGTTTTTTTTTACTGATGGTTAAAAAAAATATAATATTTATGTTTATAAGGTTTTGTTGAATTTTAAAATAAACCTTTTGTATAGAGTATCGCACAGACACACACACGCATTATGTACGCTAGCGTGAAGGTAAGTTAGGKGTAGGTATACCGTAACGATACTTATATAATCAATACTCTGTCATACTGTCTTAAATTATGCTGCCGCGGTTGAATATAATAATATATACACATAAACTGCGAAGGTATAAAGTAGCGATATACCTTACACTGCGCAGTGGTTTAGCTGTGGTTACTAAATTACATATATGCAAACGTTCAGTGGCGTATTTACAGTTTACTGGGACGTGCGTTTGACCCCCCTCAAGGCATAGACGCATTTATTACACGCATATCTTAAATTAAAGTTTTTGAATTTACATTTTACTATAATAATAATACATTTTAGTTTAGAAGTGTTAAAATAATAAACCCGCTCGCCTTACTCGTTTAAGCTATAGAGTTAGTAGTATAAACAAATAAAAAAATTAATTTGCTCATATGTTTACAATTTTTTCTTTCTTTTCAACCGAACACATATTTAAAAACATTTTTCTATCAATTTTAAATGAATTTTATACGCATACATAATATTATTATTATTATACATATATTAATGTTTCATAAATGTTTGACAGGATCACACGGAAGGGATTATATAATACTCAACAATAATATTATGATGTTTGCTTCAGAAGACTTCATTAAGTATATATRCCTAAGTTTAGAGTTTGGACATCGTATAATGGTATAATATGTTATACAGTGATTTATTATTCAGTGGTAAATTTATTCTGAGAAGAGAGTTATAGACTATAGTATTTAAAGAAAAGAATATATAAATATAATATATATGTAAAGGTGGTCGGAACGTAGCTRTACGATTTAATATGATTCTGACAATATTATACTGAGTTCACAAGTACTTTTCTCAACTATTTATAGTTTTAAGACTTCAATTATATTCTAATGATACGTTTGAGTAATGCACGTTTCCCTCGTAAAAATATATTCGTATAATTGTAGGTCAATGGCGTAGTTTTTTTTTTTTTTGTATTGGTTGGAGGGGTTTTAATTTTTGGTTTTTGAACAATGTTAGCTTGTACTGTTCTACGGATTTTGGGGGGGGGAGGGAGATTATGGGGATAGATTCCCCAGAGCCTTTTTTTTTAAATGTTTAATGCATTAACTTATACTAGATTATAAAATTACTCATATTATGTTTTAAATTATAAGTTACAAATTATATATCCCCACCCCCTCAGAATAAAATCATAACTACGCCATCGTTGTAGATATATWACATATTTAAATGTTTGAAATGTATTTAAAATATATTAGGACGTATGAGTGTATTACGTGTATTGAACTTTATAAAATAGGGGTTATTAAAAAAAAAGTTAACCATAGTGTAATAAACGATCGTTACTAAACTTTGCAGTATTCTGTTATTTAAATAACTAATCAACARAATTCTGTGAATCTTCAACATTCTTCGTAATACATTTTTATAAAAATCAATCAATAAAACACGTTGTGTTAATTTTATTTTTGTTTCATTGTACTTGGATAATGTGCATTAGGAAAAAGTATCAGAAAAACTAACAAAAAACCCTTTCGACCATTTATAGTCCCTCATTGATCATGAACATATTGTGTGATTGTCTTAAACCGTTCCTATGATAATCGCAAACACATAACAATAAAGTGAGCTAGACCAATATTTTTTATAGTATTACGTTAGAAATGTAGCATTGATTGGGGTTGCTGTTTTTTATATAGCTGAGAACCAATAGGTTCTTCGCTCGTATCGTTTTATTGTTTTCATTTTTATGGCGCCAACCATAAAATAGACATTTTAGATAACCCCGTTAGGGAAACTGAGAAAAACGTATCATCTTATCTAATTCGTTCCTAGGAGCGCACACTATAGTATCATTTTTTCGCTATCTTACACACGCAAGAGTGTGTGTTAAATTTAATATACGTAATTTCAAACATTTCTACTTAATTCACTCATCGTGATCGTATTGCATTTAACTGTTTAAATAAATGTTATAATATAATCTATTTAAAAATTAAAAAGATCATTTATGTGASACTTCTTAAAACTTTTTAATAAGTAATAATGATTTAATTTGATTAGTAACTAAAAAATTAAATCTTTTACAGCTATAGGTTTCTATAAAACCAAATATTACTTTCAACTATATAAGCACGGATAATATTATTTTTTATATTTTTATAATCATTTTTTAAACCCTAATATAAGTAATTTAATCACATCGAGAGAAGAACAGAAAGAAGTTTTTATTTAATTACATACGTGTGTAAGACAAAGAAAAGTTTTTACTGATGCGGTCTTTTAATATAATGATTTCTTGCAAACTTCTGTGTAAAAAAATCTAAAACCCCGGTASCTACGATATATTATAAAAGGCAAACTGTAGCCTTATTATCTATTTCTAAGGTCCAAGGGATCACTATATAGAGTATTATAGTATTATAGAAAGCTGTCAACCGTTTGCACTCATTTTGGATATTTGACCTGAAATTTGATAAATAGTTTGCACACACATTTATCAAAAGGTTATGGCTAGTTTATGCTTGTTTAAAAATTTGACATAGCACATTTTAGTCATATGGATCAGTTGGAAAATATGATGGGTCATTTAATAGAATTTTAACCATACAGGAAAATATTTTCATCGTTAGTTTATATAATACTTAATTATTCGAGAATTTTTTTATTTTTCTTATTAATAATATGTATGTCAAAAMTAATAAATTTTAAATAAGCAGCATCTTAGTAAATTCGTATACGATTATATTGCACTAATCCAACGAGAATCATACTTATCATATTATATCATCTATATCATCTATATCATATATATCTTGTATGTGCGCAAACAGTACCTATTTTAAGGCACATTTTTTTAAAATGAACCCAGGGGATTTCTCAAATTTCCGGTAGAATTTCGAAAATTTGCACAAATAGGTACCACCTGTGTGCTTTACATATTTTATCATTAGAACAAAATTCTATATATAACCACATTAAAAGTTCCATGTAACGKAATGGCTCGGTATACCTACAGATTTTTTCAGTATAAAGAMGTTTCTCTATAATAAGGAGACAGAAAACTAAAATATAAGTTTTAGGTATTGGTTATACGAGATATTACTGTTCTTTTCCGTTGTATAGAGATCTCTGTCTTATAGGGAGTCCGTTATAAGGAGGTTTTACTGTATACAAACTATATGACGTATAAACTATGGTAATTATTCGTTAGCTAAGTTTTGTTTTATGTTTATTTTATTGGAGTATGGCCAGTATGGGAATATTATATTATAAATTTTATAAGCGGGCCCCAAGGACTGAGTGATAAATTCTACGTATCAACGATTCGGGCTCAGTGTTGGAAAAAGATAAYTTTTAAAATAACTTACCTACCATCTAAACAAAATAATGCAGATATAAAAATATCACTGCAGTTAACACAACTTTTTATCRGGATATTAGATTAAAAAAATACCAATTTTTTTTTATGTTAAGTGCATAATACCTACCTACTTTATTTATCTCACGAAACCGTTATCAAAATATAGTATGTGATAAAAAGTTTAGGACTAAACGTGTTAAAGTTCCATCATACGCGTATTTCGTTAAAAGTAAAATGGTGGGTGAGCAAAATATTATACTGGTCCGAGGATCGATGTCTAATCTGCCGCAGACAGCTTACTTTTACGTACCTATATCTATAAAAGATATTATAGATACTACACATATTATATGGTTTAAAAAGTAAGTAATTTAAACGATTTCCATCCGTTCTCGAGATAAGGATATATTATGATCTCTCTCTCTCTCTCTCTCTCTCTCTTTTTTTTATTTACCAAGTCCACAAAACACACGTACACACTTCCGCCGATATGACCTAATGCGTTGCATTTTTAGGTGTCGTTGGACGGGAATCACCGATAGTCGGGGCTGCAGGCTTACCTGGAATAAGCGGATTCGTTACGTTTGGCTGAGGTGGCGTAACTATCGTGGTGACGCGCGGCATAGTCGAACCGTTCGGCCACCGGCGACGGCGGTGACATGAAGCTTTCAGACGTACTCTGCGATACCGGAAGATAGTGGTTGCGGCCGCCGCCGCCGCCGCCACCACTACCACTTCCTGTTCCGACGACGGCGCCATGGCACGACGACGACGACGATGACGAGTACCTATCGTCCGGCAGCTGCTGCTGGTGATGGTGTTGTTGTTGGTACGACCGGCCGGCCGACGATGCGCCCGATGAGTACCGTTCGGGGGACGGTGGCGGGACGTACCGATCGAGCGCCAGGTCATGCAAACGGTAATGACCCTCGATGGTGCCGTGGTACCGTTCGGCGGGAGACGGTGGTTCCAACAACGATGCCGACGACCGGCGCAACGTGCCGCCACCGCTGCCGCCGCCAACGCCGTGGTGATTGTTGTGATGATGGTGGTGGTGATGGTGGTGGTGGTTTCGGTCTCTGCGGATTTTACAGTAGTCGACTCCATCTTGACCCGGCGGTAAGGGTCTCATATTGCCGCCATTGGCGTCATTGTCAAGACATCTGAAACGATCAAAAATATATTTTCAATAAGTGTGCGGTTTTTTCGATGAAACCTGGTACCTGGTTAGATATATATATTTGTGATTAAATCAGAATTGTAATTGGCCAGATTTGGATTGAATACATTGGTTTTACAATAGCTGTTTAGGTACAATGTCTGTTTTTTCCAATTTTAATTAATAAATGTTTTTTTTTTTTGATCTTAAGATACTTTTCGTTGTAGAAAATATGATTTTATTTTCAACTTCTGATGGTGTCTAATTGAAAACTAACATGCTTTGAGTTTGGTGGGTCAAACATGAAATATTCCCGTATTTTTCATAATTATCGAGAAAAACCAAAAATGAATCACTAATTGTTGACAAAATCGATTTTGTTGTTATTATTGTAATTCAAAAACAAATAGCTAAAGATTTGGACGGATTTCAGATTATTTGACTTGTATGACTATATCATTAAAATTTGTTTAAGTCATCACTTGTGTTAAAACAGCCAATATCTCTGATTCAATGTGGACAAATTAAATTTGACATTAATTTACAATAATAAATAAAAGCATAATATCTGTATAATATCGTGGGACAATCTCTATATTGGAACGTATTATTTACAACATCGGACCATGTCGAAATCAATCAATATAGTTTTTAAATATAATCATAATGTTAATAGATTTATTAACATTATGATTTATGTGAAATTGAATATTATTATTATAGGTTTGAATAAAATAGTTAAGTTGATTGATTATTAAAAAACAAATTTTGAATTTTAATGTTTGGCCTATGTCTTAATATTAATAATATTAAGGCTAATGTGAAAATAAAACCAATATTTTTTCTGATATGGCAAAACACAAATTTTTAGTGTTAAATTAAGGATTGAAAATAATTGTTGTTACCTAACCCATAGTTTTTATAATTTTTATTTAAAAATGACCAATTTTTAAATTCGATCTCCTAGAAATTTTGTTTTTTGGCATTGACACTTTTCGCACCAATCCATAGGATATCTCAGTCTGTGGTTGTAAGCTACTTTGGTTTTATCTCCACAATTCACTAAGATCTATAAGTACTTATAATATCACATATTCSCATCCTAATAAGCATTTTTGGAAACGCTACTGACTACACTGATAACAATCGTAAAAGTTTAAAAGAACAGAAGCTCAGTCACAACACATAACTGAAACTCAAGCACACAAAATTAAAGATTAAAATCCTGACATTTCTTGTAAATAACAAAAAAAGTTACCGTGGTTGAATTTCGTTACTACATGGTCACACAATTTTGTGAAAAATTAATACAAATTTCAATAAAATTGGGGCGCTGGAGTGAATGATCTTTTCGACGATTCTAGATCAGATTCGTTTTTCTATATCACGATAATTTAATGTAATTTTCAATTGAAATTTAACAATAACTCACCTTAAACATGTAGATAACATGTCAAATATACATGTGTAATCGGATTCATGTACCGATTAGAAACGGCGAACGTTATAATAGTATTCAAAATATTTAATATTATTAAAAAATTATATAATATTATTATCATACTTGATACTTTACTTATATACCTACTTAGTACTTACTAAAAAAATAAGGGCTCTTGTGCGTTTGCATATTTTTTTTTCATTAGTATTATAATGTCAATTTAATTTTTAAATATATAAGTTTAGTATTTTTTGCTAAGAAAGAATTGTATGATATTATATTTAATACCCAATATAATGTCGTCAACAGCTAACGTTTTAAAAAGTGAAAATTATGACATATTTTGACATTTCAAGATTTTAGGGCATAGTATTTATGGTTTGTAATGCATATGTTCTTAGTTGTTTGAAAATATTGTGTATTCTATCTGAACACTAGTATACCAATTTAATAATATTACAATCTTGTGATTAAATATTTTGATACTAGTCGTATAAAGTCAATCAAAACATAATTCGCTACCAAGATTTTTAATTTTAACGGAGAATTGTTATTACAGTATTGCAATTTGCAGTATAACACAAAATTAATAACTTCAACATTGTAATAGTGACAGCATGACAATAATATGGGAATTGATAATATATTTTTGTATCATGAGTATTTTGAAAATGTATATTATACACATAAAGCAGTAAAATTGTTAAAATACGAGTATTTCCCAAAACATAATGTTAGGAAATAATTTTTTGAGCATCTTTCATACTTTTTAACCGTGCATTTCAGTAGCTCGGTGTATAACACAATATTCATAAACAAGTATTTAATAGTTTTTCAGCGCATGAAATTCCGTATTCTATATTTTATAATAATCACGAATTTTTTTTTTCATTAAGTTTCTTGAAATAGTTAACGTAGTTTGGCAGTAGATATACATGTCATAATATCTGCTCAGTACTTTAATATGAATATTACATTAAAGATGGTGAAATCCTAGGCGAATTATTCTTTTTTTTATGTAGCATTAAAAAAACAACAATTTACGGCAAAAGGTTTTAAGTTCACTCGCCGAGTTTAATCAATACCACGCGCTTTTAGAAGGTTCAGTTTAATATAAATAGSTTTCACCGTTTATTCATTTATTCCAGCTTTTAATCTCAATTTGAATGAAAAAAAAAATAGGTAGGTATACAGACATAAAACAGAGATCACGAGTATTTTAAGGATTTTCATACGCTTAGGCCATTTCACTTCCCAACCTGCATATTATTATTTAGAATTTAAATGAACGATTAACTATTTTAAAATGTGCGTATTGATACGTAGTAATTTTCTACTTGGAAATGTAAAATTAAAATCCAAAACAACAAATTACATAATAGATAATAATGAATTTATCTATCTATTGTTTTATATTCCTGCTTTAATAAAAATCAAGATACATGGAAAGGACAACGATGTGAAATTTTAAATATTAAAATGGCAAAGAACTGCACGTGTTCAAATTGTGTTTCCAATCCTCATTACTAATCTATATTTAAAAAAAAAAAATATATTAAATCATTTTTTTTGCATTTTATTTATAATAGTAATTTGACAAAAAAATATGTGTCATCATTTAAAAAATCAATGTAAAAAAATACTTAATTGTAAACATAATTTTTTTCGATAGTGTCTATAGTTGTAAGCTATGTATTTTCACTTTATTGTATTTATTATTTACCGATATGTAAATATTTGCTTTATAGATATAACAAATTAATATAATTTCAATAAAATCTTTTACAACAGATTTTCATGTATAYGTGAACAATGTATATTTATAAATTTTCATCACATTGCATTCTTTTGGGATTTTTTTGTTTTTTTGGAAATTCCTGCAAAATAACATTGCACAAGTTTACCACGAAAATGCTGGCACACATATTGTTATTGCAACCTACACCTAAATCGTAAGATGAAGGCATGCCACGGATGTGAGAATGGAATATTAGACAACGTAATAGAAGTTACAATATATAGCACGTAGAGTGAGAGAGAAGATAGGTTCATTGCACGCATTCTTGTGATACAAACAAACATGTTTTTTGGTTTTAACCGATTATTGCTCTTCAACGCTACTTTAATTTTAAACTACTGAAAATGCGAAAAGCTCAACAACGTTCACTTATTGTAGTGGCCATTGACCTGAGWAACACGCGTGTTATTTTTTCACAGTGTGGCATGGCCAAAAAAACTTATGCATTTTTACCCCAAAGAGAACGCTAACAAACACAAAACACGTTATATGTATTTATATGTYTTAATAAGTATAACAAATCACTTTGATCAGATTATACGATACATAATACATTATACAAAATGAATGATTTAAATTGTTGATATTGTTTTTAAAACTACATTTTTTGGTTTAAAAGTTTTCACAAATTAATATCGTGTAAAATTTCGCATAATAATAAATCATATACATTTGTAACAATTTTAACTACGCCCAAATTTTGATCGAATATGATAATAATTTATATGCAAAAATGATTAATTTATAAATAAATCCATAACTTACGATCGAAAGTTAAATATTATTCTATGGTTTTTTTTTAACTTGAGGAGGTTATATAGTATAAATTAAACTTTCATACTTTATCATAGTATAATAATGCTATTGCTACATTAGTCAATTCGTATTATTATTATAATACTGTCCATTGTCTGTGACGTACAAAACATTATTAGTAGTATTTTGTATAGGGAAAAGATTATGATTACATTTAATGGTGTTTATGTTTTTGACATGTTTTCATTATATTTTTCTAAGAAATAAGGACGTTTGCAATTATTGTGGTACCCGGTATTTTGTGGACGTGGCTTTGGTCCTGGGTCGAGAGACTGCAACGTCCAGTGTAAGCACTGTAGTTGGATTATTCGTTATTCCGCCCATTTATTTATATTTTTGTTTTAGTCATTGTTATAACAATAATTTATTGTTCACGCCCTGCGACAGTTATTTGCGAAAGTTGCACTCTACCACCTGTGCTGCCACGCGTCCCAAATACCCACCAAAGTATCCACCTCTCGACCATTTTTGCACAGTCATATACGATTATTAATTATTAATTATTGTTATCATCATATATTATGGTACCATCCCTTCACTAAGTTTTCAACATAGGACAATCGACTCACGCCACGCCGTCTGTTACGCTTTTCACTGTCCAGTGTCCATGGATATACTATCACAGTCTATTATACTGAATTTCCRTTAAAATGGAATTTATAGTTATCAACTAAGATCTTCTATGRTATATTCACGAGATATGACTTCGATTAGATAGAACATCGATGAATGTTTGGTGCCTTGATTGATCTATTTAGGTATGTATCACGATTTAAGATATATTTAGTAGGTACATATAATATTAATTCATATATTTAATATATTTAGCTTATCTTAATCTTAATCTAACCTATTTTGAAAATATGGATGGTACGCCATTATATTATTATTAAAAGTGACGTAACGAAAAATCATA